CGTGTGCCACGACCAGTTCAACGTAACCTTCGCTCATGCCGACACGATTGAAGGCAATAACGGTACCTGGCCGGCGTGTGAGAGCGCATTCTTCGACACGGAGGATCGTAGCCTGACAATCAGTGGCTGGATGCCCGATTCGCGTTGGTTCCTCCGACAGAACTTGCCTCAAAATCTCTCAGAGATAACAAAGTGGCAAGGGGGCCCTGGACACAAGTTGCCCAACAGCAGCCAATTCTACGAATTCTCCGACCAGGTCGATGCCTGCTTCGACTGGGAGCTGTCAACTGAGGGTATGAAGCTTCTTTTGGCGGGGTCGATCGACCCGGATTATATCTTTATCAACCATGTCGTCGATGACCTTCCCGGCGGATGGGAGAACCCCCAACTTGAATGGGATCCTGTGAACCAACTCAGTCAATCTGCCTTGTTTAGCCTCCACATCGCTGAACAGGGAACGACTGCAACTGACCATCTCTGGGGCGGCGAGATTGGTCGTCAAAGAAAGCGCAAGCGACGACAGACCAAGCTCGGGACCGAGCCCAGAGAGCTTATGGTCGGAATCGATCTGAAAACTAGGACGCTCATACCGTTGCCTAGAGACATGGACCTGAGAGATGCGTCGAGACAGAACGCCGGACTCGACGAGACGAATGAAACCATCTTGATAGCCGCATTCGTCGTCACAAGAACACTTCTTGGTGGTGCCGACCGAATCATAGAATGGGGTCTCATGATGACCTTGTTCCCCGACATGGCCCTCAGCGCCATGCGACGATTCTGGTCGAAAGCCCGAAAGGATCGTGGAACTTTCATCAGTCAGCTTTCTGAGCGATTCCAGATTCAATTTATCTCAGCCTACGAGAACGATGAATTCCCGCCCATTGACTTTGACAATTATGTCGACTACGACTGGTCGCGCCTTATCAAGTGGACCGCTGGTCTTATTGAGGATTCGCAGGAATTGCCTGCCAGCAAGACTGCTCTGGAACGAGGTTACTCTCTCGGCTCAGCTTGGACGGATATTACCAACTGGCGCGACGAGTACTATAACTTTCAGATGTCTGTCTTTAACAGATTTGAGGCGGCCACTTCACGCCCCGCGACTTCCCTCGTAGACAACGATGGGGGAGCGCTGTCACAGGACAGTGAGGACCTAGCCATTGCCATGTCGTGGTTGCGCTCCCTTTGCTACACGCATCGCGATAAATATGCGCCGCAAGATATCAGGAAGAAGATGGCGAGCATCGGAGGCGGAGATGAGGAGCGCATCCAATCACTTCTTGAGCAAGCGGTCGAGACTCTCCAAGGTCAAGGTGTCATCACGGATAGCAAGCTCAAAGCACTCGAGGGCCGCCCTTACCGCCTCACCGAGACATTCTTGCCGCGATTCATCAAGTGGACTAATGAGGTCAAGTACATCGACGCCGCCAAGTTCAAACAACGACTTGATGTAAGCTTCCGACGGGGCGAAAAGATCCGGATTCCCTATGTCTTGAGGGATGGTGAGGTTATGGCCATGATGAACTTGCAGGCGTACGGAAGAGTTGCCGTCACCACAGTTGATGTCCCGAATATTCCTCTCGGTTTCGACCCGGGCAATTACGAAAGTAGGAAATACCCCAAGTCGTACTACAACTTTGGTCTTGAGATCGAGGCCACAGAGAAGTACGTTTACGATGAAGATTTGGCCCTCCTACAAAAAGCCAAGCACAGCAAGCCGCCAAGGGAAAACCATAACCGGGCGGTTCCACTGTGGTCGGATTTTTTTGGGGAGCTCAACCATGATCGTTGGGCACAAGTTCTTGGCGCAGTTGCGTTCGTTGTCGCAACTCGAGGACCCCTGGATGTCGCGTCCGTTTGTGCCGTGCTCAAACCATATGTACAAGAGTTTGAGGTGCAGATGGTGTTTGACTGGGGGGCAAGATACGGTGTGTTAAAGGGTATTACCTATGGAAAGAGTTTCACCGTGGATGAGTGGTGGTGGCTGGTTGTTGGACAGCAGCGGAATGGTTTGTGAACGACTCGTGAAGGAGGATATTATGAAGGTAGTCGGGATAGCACGCGTATGAGAGTAGTCCCTACGAAGTGCAGGTCAAGGGTCCAAAAAGTTCATTGGAGTGGTATCCCCATCCCGTTGGGAACATGGGCTTTTGGCTCAGTGGCCATCGTAGCAATAAAACAATGTCTACAAGTTTCCGGATGACGATATATCATGGACATGGCCAAGCAAAACCGCCTAAATAACCTCAACCAGACGCCAGCAACCGTGAAACAAACAGATTCTCGCATCTCAGCGTTCATCCAGGGTGACGGGGGCTGGATCCCCTCATGCAAATTGTAGGAGCATCATCGTAACTAAAAGTCAAGCAAGACTTTGAGAATCATGGCCAGCAGAAGTACAACGAGAACAACAATGGCTCGATCAACCCACAGTGGTACGCCTTCGTCATACGCACGGGTGGTAGGAGGTGCCTGGGGGCGAACACTAAGATTTGGGGCCGGAGGCAGCGAGACCGTCCGTGTAGGGGTGATAATCCCTTGACCTGGACGCGCAGAAGGGTAAGATGCCGCCGTTGCTGGTGATTGTGATGTTGATGCCGAACTGGCCGCCACGACTGTCTCAGGTGCCGTACGAACAAAGCCCTCGGCCAGCTCGGCACTCTCTGCATCCGCCGGTTCGGTTCTTGGTGTCGGAGGCACCGGTGTCACTGCTTCCGTGGATCCTCCTTCTAAGACCTTAGACTCAGTCATCTCATCCTTATATCCAAGCTTCAGCTCGGAGGGTATCTCAACTTCAGTCGCTGAATCTGGTGAGTCAGAATTGGCCTTGGCCGATTCTTCACATTCTTGGATGATTTCAGTATTTGTCTTTGCACACGTTGGGCATTTGAATGTGTGCGATGCGATTGCATGACGCTTCCGCACAGAATCGCTTGTCTCGAGGCCGCCCAGCTGGCCTCGGGGGTCCGTCTCCATGAAGCTGCGCAACCTTTTATCTTGTTAGTTAACGGGGAAACATCTCTAATAGGGACTGGAAAGGCAGAGAGAGGGAGTCCCAGGCTGAACATACGCGACGAGTGCAGTCCTCACGCCCCACGCAGGCTGCCACGTCTCTTCGTGGTGACCGCTGATGCTTAGACAAATCTCCCTGTTGGTTTCGAAACGGCCGCTGGGTGTAAGGAACCGGAAACTCGGCGGGCGGAGAGGATATGTAGGCGGCAACACGATACGGCCATGGTAGATGCCTTCGCTGTAGGAGGAGTTGGGTGGCCCGCGGAAAGTGAAGTGCCATTCGAATAGATCTGACTCTAATGGAGTAGCCGTATAATCTGGTGATGGAGAGCTGGAGAGTTCTTGGGCTTCGCGCACTGATTTGGGTCCGATTGATTAGCGAGCTTCTGAGTGGTCAGATGGATAAGAATCCAACGTTTGAGAGGCATCTTACATATGCGCCGTATTGTCGGTGACTTTGAGTTGAACTTAGGAGTTGCCATGTTGCATACGCTGGTTGTTGTAGATTTAGGTGATGTAATCGTCTGCTGATCGATAATCGGCGTAAGTCGTCGTGTCTAGAAATCCAGTTGACAAAATAATCCAGACCGGGAAGAGGTGGCTTTTTATTGAACGAGCGAGCGTCTGTGTCGGGTTAGGTCGCAAAAGTTTGCGTAGAAGAATGGATAGTAGATGCAGGCGCAGATAGACAGGCTGGTGTTGAACAAGTGTATGAGTGTATGTATGTGTACGTGACAGGTGGAGGGATAGGTGGCACTAACCATCTCATGCCGCGACTGTCACTGGAGTTGGGGAGGGGTGGGTTCTTATCCGGCCGGGGGGGCTTAACGGTGGAATCGACGACCACCTACCCTGACGCCGCTAATTGAGTGCCCAGGGGTTTGAGCCTTTGTACTGACCTGGAGAGTAGGTACTGCGGCAATGAGGCGCTGCAAGTTTGAACTCGGAAGAATGAGGTGCTGCTAGCCAAGCACCCAATGGAAGGTTGGTGGGTACCGAATAGGTATCCATCCCTAAGGTAAGGGACGGAGTACCTAGGTACCTACGTGCCTTGCAAGTCTTGACAAAGGAGACACGTACCGAGTGAATGGAGCACGAGTCACTCAGTGCTCTTGGGTGGGTAGTCCCCTGGGCCAAGACGAAAAGAGAGACTTAGAATGCACTTTCTGCCATTGGTCCAACACTCCGGCACAAGCCGACTTACCTAAGCATCCTAGGACCTCTCAGATTGTCAGTCCGTCAACGACGTTTCTTCCTACGGGACTGATGAACGGCCATCACTGTCCGAATTTCCCGACCTAGTTTCCCAGCAAAGCTTAGAACGCCTAGAGGCAAAGGCGAATCCGAGGTATGTGAGCCCACTCGACCGGACTCAATTGAGTTTCTGGCGGCCTGCTGACGAGCTGCAACCTCAAGAATCCCTCCATCCATTCCTCTCCCTCGAGAATCTTCCCCGAACGACGCGCCTGGCGTATCGACTTTCGCCATGTATACCGGCCCCAAGCCTCCGACGCCTCACGTCCCTGGTGTGTACCGCTTCACAGCGACTGCCCTGGGCGCTGGCATGTGGTTCTTCGTATGTCCCTTACCGAAGCCCTTATTGATACCGCAAGGCCGAGGAAGCTAACGTCATCCTACGCCATCGATAGCTCATGTACCGCGCGAAGAAAGACGGTATATTCCCTACAACTTTCGATAATACTGATTGCGTGATTGCTGACGGAAATGTGCAGGAGCTGTGTTGCTGGGCTGGAAGCACCCTTGGGATCACTGAACCGAAAGCTCTAAAGATGGGTGGTCTAGTGAACAAGAAGTTTGAGGAATACGCGCAAGATGCGCGATATCAACAGATCATTCGGCATTCGCCAGTCCAAAAGTCAGGCAAATATAGGCAGAGGAATCAACGATTAGCTACTCTATTATGGGTGCAAAGCAATTGCGGCAAGCCCAACTATGCTTGGGTTCATCTCTGTCCGTCACTTCTTCTACTGAGTGTTGGGCTTTTCGAAGAGGTAGTGCGACACGCCCCAGGTATCCCCGCCTTGGTAGGCGAACAGCTCGGAACACGCCAAGTAGAAGATTTGCCATCTGTTGAACCACACGCTGGCGTTCTGCTCCCCATACGTCTCGACCAAGTGCGGCCAGATCTCTTTCTTATGCGCAAGCATCTTGCTCAGCCAGTGCTTGATGCTCGTGTTAGCTCGTCATACTGAGACTGATGTACGGTAGAGAGGCGATCGGCGGCAGCTTACCTCGCACGTCTTGGAGTAGTGTTGTCCGTTGACCCACCACTGCTTCTGAATCTGTAAGTCCCGCTGGAAGAATAGGAGCAGGTCGGTGGAAGGCATAGTGCCTCCTGTGAAGAAATACGTCGTCATCCAGCCCTCCTCACTGAGGTTTTCCGCGGTCAGCGCTTCCCGATAGTGCACAACATCGCGGCCGTTACTCACTAATCGTAGGGAGTGGTCCTGTGGGCAAAGATATGGACAAAAAGCTTGCCACCAGGCTTTAAGGCCCTGCCCACCTTTGCCATAAGGAGCTCGTAGTTTTTCATGTGCTCAAATAGCTTTTGTTACAGTCAAAATCCTTTTCATCGGACGCATCTAGCGGTCAGGGAAAATACATACCTCGATGGAGACAACTCTGTCAAAAGACTCCCGCTCGAACTCATAGTCAACAACGTTACCTGTGATGACCGTGAGGTTTGATAAGCCCTTCTCCTTGGCTTTCCCATCGATGTACTCCTTCTGCGTCCTGGAGTTGGAAAAGGCCGTGACCTTGGAGTTAGGAAGTACCTCGGCGAAGTACAGCGCTCCTGATCCCCAACCGCAGCTGTAACGGTCAGTCAGGCCCTAAATCTAACATATGATCTCACGATGCATGGGAAGGGCCGGAGACGACTCACCCGAGATCCAAGATACTCATACCATCCTTCAGTTCGGCCTTTTCAACGTACGTCTGTAACATGGCCACTTCCGCCTGTGCCAATGTCTCGCCTCCCTTGGGGTACAGACAGCACGAATACTTCATGCGGGGGCCAAGGCATGCGGCGAGGACACCGGTGCCAACCTCGTAGTGCTGTTTGTTGGCCGTAGCGGTCTCAATTGCAATGGGTTGAGTGCGCAATTTCTCGATGAACGTCATCTTCCGCTCGTAATCGAGGCCGAGAGACGTGCTCGCGATGGAGTCGAGACGCTCCTGAAGCTGGCGCCGAATACCTATCCTGATGACGGCGTTGGGCAGGTAGCCGCTGTCGAGAATCCAGTCTAGATGTTGCGTTAGAGAGCTGTTGTCGAGTCACATGCTGACTTCACAATGAGCTTCATAAGGCTTGTATGCGAGGACGTACCCATGTTCATCTTCGCGGTAGAGGTGATTCGCGAAGGTTCAGTGGAATGAGAGAGGCAGAAATAAGGGATTGACCGTCTCTGTGGCCCGAGTCCCAATGCGTGAGGTTGTATTGTACTTTGAAACCCAAGCGATGTCCGAGCACCCGCTTCGAGTGAGGTCTAAAGCAATATGGGTTGTTGGTTGATGCGAGGTGTTTAGGCTACTTCAATGGAGATTACTGGTATGAGACTTGGAAGTAACAGGTAGCAGTCGAAGCTTGACCTGAATGATTGTATCGACTAGCTAGCTGTGATTGTGGCTGGGGTGGCAGGTCGCAGGGTGCGACCGCGACCCCGGCCACTCGGAGCCGGAGCGACCCGCCTGGGCTAGTTCGGCACCGGAATGCGGGTCGGTGGATCATCGATGACACCTTCATTTATGGTCAACTCAGGTAGCTTGATACAGCACGATCCTGACATCCGAGCTAGAAACCGAGACTGAGAAGTTCCCATTCAGGTAGAAACTAGATTTGATGGTCACACTCGATTCCTTATTTTCATACATCAAGGCAATACTCGCCAACTTTACGTGGAATTATGGCAGCGTGTGCGATCAAGCCGCAAAGGCATCTCTTCAACCGTGTAATCCTACAACTCCATGTGCTCCAAAATGATTTTATACTCCTTTCTTTGCTTCGGCTTCTTCAGGAAGTTTTCTTTGAAACGTCCCACAGCCCGAGCCAGCTTTTGGAAGAGGTACTTTTCTGATATCCATGCCGCGACCAAGTAAACGCCCCCGAGTAGAATCATGAAGAGCTCAAAGTCCCAGCTTGTCTTGGTAAGTTGCATCAGGTGCCTTACTGAATGCCCCGGGCCAATGATCATCCATATTGTGATTGATAGGGTTGCCACGATGGTTGTCATGAATGGCCCTTATTATTGTTAGTTCCTTGGACAAATGTTGCTGCAATCCGACTTCACCTACAGTTCGTCATCGCCTTTTCTCTGAAAGGAGGGCCCGCGTTGAGGACCACACCCGCCAAGATGTACTCGAAACAGGACACCAGAAATAGAACCGTGTTTTCCGAGTTCTTGATATTCGACTTGTCATGGTTGACACGTGGGGGTACGTACCTTTTCTTTGAGTTAGCAGTGCGTAAAGATGATGGTGGGAGCAAGGTAGGAAGCGCTCACCATGACTGCTTTCGCACGGCGACATATACAGCAGTTTGCACGAGTATACAAATGACCATCTGGCCCAGTAACGGTATGAGCACCTTGCGAGAGACGAGGTCTGCAGTTGGTCGCTTTCGTGACAGAACAGGGTATGGCCCAGCCCAGCTCACTACGATACTTATAAGCGTTTTATTCAACGGTTCTGAACTAGATTCATGACTTACTGAAAATGGCAATAGGAAGAATCAACAGTAGATCAATGAACAGGAACTAAAGAGTGATCAGCCAGTGATGACGCTTTGGGCGATCATGTCAACTTACTTGAAAGTCACCGAGATTAGAAGCTGTAGCATAAAGAAAGCTGACGGACGTGAACTGGATGGCCGAGTACAAACTCATGTACTTGAAGCAACTGAAACTCGTCACAAGTGCAGCACGACCCTCGCTAAAGATATGTGTTATGATGATACTCTGCTTCGTGGGTGGTGAAAACACTTACCGGATAACCTGGGGAACGCAACCGATGTCGAAGACGCGTGACGTGAACGGAGCTGCAACAGAAGCTTCCGCCTCTGAGAGGGAGATGCCGACATCTGCAGCCTTGAGAGCGCCGCAATCATTCGCACCGTCACCACAAAAGCCACAGCAGTACCCGATCGCTTGCAATTTCTCAACCAGTTCGTGCTTCTCATCTGGAGACATGCGCGCGAAAACTCGACCACGGACCAGCATCTGAGATCGTAAGCATAGGCAGCCAGGTGGCACGCTCCGGGGGATGAACATACTCTCTGCAACACCAACGGAGGCGCGAAGTCCACAATCCAGCGAAAAATCTCGCCGCTGACTGCTAGAGAGTAATTGCGGATGTCATTGATGTTGTATGCCAATGATGCGTCGACGTCAGCCGGAGGTGGTAGTGGCTGTGCAACAAAGTTAGCTTTACAACAATGTCTTTAGAATTGTAATGAACTTGCAAGAAGAGTCTGTTCGTTCAGCTGGAAACCCCCGTTATCAATGCTCTCCCACCGTAGCCGAGCCTTTGGGTCACCGGCGTTGCCTGCTTACTGTTAGACTCAATCAGATACCTCACTTGTCGCCACTTGCCTTCTATGAATCTCGGAACGAAGCAGTGCGCAGTCTTGTTGATCAAGTTGCATTCACGAGCAACACTGATGGCAGTCAAGATGTTGTCACCTGTCACCATCGTCGTACTGATGTTCGATTCCAGTAGCTCAGTCAGTACAGGCGCTGTGGTCGGCTTGAGCTTGTTTTCGAAAATAATGAAACCAGTGAATTCCAGTTGAGACTCGGCCTCGTGTCGCTTCATTTTCTGGGCTTTGACCCAGCTGAGTTTTGGAATATGGCGAGCTGCGCAGCCAATGACGCGATAACCCTTGTGTGTATAGTAGGCAAGCTGATCATCATAGTCGACTGGGACTATGTGTTGAAGAGGACATTCAAGGTCAGTAGTGCCTTTCGAGGTACACCTAAATCAGTTCGGTAGATATTGATCACTCACAGCTGTCTTCGCGACATATTTCCCGCATGCATTCAGGAGCGCCTTTGACATATATGTCCCCACTTTGCTGTCCAAACTGTCGAACTATGACGCTTGCTCTACGGAGCTGCGAAACGAATTCGAAGGACCTTAGTACCCCCAACTCAAGCAATTGCTGGTTAAGTGGGTTAGTCTAGCTTTGATCGACAGGGGTCCGCAGCCTACCGATTGATCTCCTTGTTGAGTGGCGCCTCGCAGAAGAGCATCATGCTCAGCTGGAGGTCGGGCGACTGACGGCGAAAGGCTGCCCTGGTCTTGGTCGTCTGCCTCGTTGGGACTTTGTTTGCCTTCTTCGAAAGACCACCTTGTAAACTCAAACATTTTGAGGTCAAGTGGATCACCCATCAGCTCGTCGTCCACAGACCTCAACGAGTGGCAAGTTGCCATGGTGTACAAGGCTGCCCTCAATTTTGACATCTGGGCTGGAACGCCGGCCTGCGCCTGTACGAACGACGATGGATCGGTAAGCACCTCCGTGAACCTGCCTGTTACTGTTGATGCAACCCGAACACCGAGTATGTCCAATCCGTCCTCTGTTAGGGTGCCGGTCTTGTCAAAGCACATGATGTCAATCTTACCACCTACGTTGACCCGCTGTGGACTGATGCAAAAGATTTGTTTCTTCTTCAGTCGGCTCAGCGCGAAGTTGGTCCCAATGGTGAGCGTCGCGGGTAGCGCTGGCGGCACCACGATTGTGATAAGATCGAGAGCACGGACGATGATGAGGTGCCAGGCAAGGTGCAGCCGCAGGAAATTGAAGAGAGAGGCGATGAAACCAAGCATGGCTACGATAGCCATGACACTGATGTACCGGAAAGAGTCTCTGTAGAATTTGAAGCCGGATGGTTTGGGGAAGAGCATGGATCGTACAAGGGATCCCTTCGTGGTGCTGAATCCCGTTCTGACCACGAGTGCGAGGGCGACAGCGTCACCATCACGCTCTTCCTGCGGTCGCCGGGCGCGAATGATCTTGGTACCACAGAAGAGGAAGTGTTTGCCAATCTCTGGCGACACGGTCGGTGCAGCCAAATCGAGACTATACATCGTCTCATCGGTGGCCGGTGTTTTAGACACAGGGACCGATTCACCTGAGAGCGAGATGTAAGCCAAACAAGTTTCACTCATGCGGAAGTAGGACTTGCGAGTGAAACTCACCTGTCAGCATGCTCTCGTTAACGATGCAGTCTCCGCTCAAAAGCAAGCCGTCGCTCGGAAATTGAGTCAGATTTGGGTCGCTGACCTCGTAAACGTCACCAGGCACGAGCTCACTCGAGGATACAAATCGCCCTATGTCCGTCAGGATTTCGAGCAAGTTTATACGGCAGCTGAGTCCTTACAGAAACCATTTCGAAGTACACGCACGTCGCACTCGAAGCGAGAAATCTCGCGGAGTCGTTTCATCGTCTGTTTCATTAGCCTCCGGTCACACCAACAAAAGACAATGGTGAATTCGACCTACCGCTTTGGTTTCAATGAGGGTGGTGGCAATACTTCCAAACGACATTAGGAAGATAGCCACGGCGTAGTAATAATATTCGTCAAGAGACCACAGAATCAGGCTAGCAATCTGAAAGACGTAGAAAGGATGGAAAACCTGGAACGATCAGTATCTCGACCTACCACCACAAACGATTTCTTACCTCATCTACGAGCAACTGCGGCGTTGATTTTTGCTCAATATCAATTAGGTTATTCCCAAAAACAACTGCTCGCAGTCCCTTCTCATCACTGTCTATGCCAGCACGCACGGCGCGAGGATCGGTCCAATTCGGGTCAACCCAGCCGTTGAATATGACAAACTTGTCCTTTTGCTGGTTGAAGTACAAGCGAACATAACGATAGTTGAGCATGCGTAATTCGGTGATGATTGGGTCGTAATCATCATCTACCCCGTAGCTCTTTCCAGTGTGGCCAAAGATGGTAGACATAGGTCTACCGTACAGCTTTTTGTCTACGTCCATCAGGGCAAATTCTCCCCATTGATTCTAGACGAAGTCAGCTCATGTGCAACAATAGGGAGAATGCATAGTTTACCTCGACAACAACCCAGTCACACTCGGCCAGTGGAGACGGCAGACCCAAAAGTTTTACATGCCATCTAGGAAACCATCTGAGTAGTAGCCAAGCAACACCAGCAGTGCATAGGCAAAGTGCGACATAAGCAGTGAAGCCAAGTCGACTTGTCCGAAAGCCAGCAATGGCAATGGTAAGGTCCTCATTCACCATGTAGACCTTCTGGCTTAAACGATCTCCACCAAGGCTCTTGTTGGTCATGCCACTGTCCTGGCGCAATAGGCGGGCGTGAACAGACGATCTTGAGTGCGTTGACGATCGCCTGCGTTGGGACATGTAATCATCGATGGTTTCGCCGTTTTCGTAATCAGCGTAGCTTTCCTCCTCGTCACCAAACGCAAAGTCTCCCACATCTGACAGGCTTTGGCGTTCATCTTCGAACGAAGTAGGAGAGGCTTCGGGTTCATCGTGATAGTATGCAAAACTCGTCGTCGAGTCAGCACGAGGCCGTCGATGGGAGAAGGCTGAAACGCTGGTAGGAAGGCTTTCGGCCATAGGACCAGAGAAAAGCTACAGACAGTATGATCAGCGTCAATACGCAATTGGAGATGGGACTTGGGTTTGTCTGACTTCGTCATGAGCCATCTCCACCTCCTCGAAGATGCTCGTTGAGCTTTGATTCGAGTCGAGCCGGTAGAGCGGCGCATGGCCATTCCTCGATGTAGAGGAGGCACGATGATGCCCATTCTCTCCTGGCGCAGGCATATCTGCAACTTCCTCAGGGCGATCTAGTCGCCGTAATGGTATCGAAGGTTCCAGCTCGAGAGACAAGAGGTTGAAGGCGTGGCTGGACTGCCGAAACGAGGTTCGAGTTGAGAGAAGCGGTGTTGTAAATTTGGCGAGAGCGGCACATACCCGTGGGTCAAAACGCTTAGTTGGGTTGAGAGAGTTAGAAGAAACAGCTAAGGGAAGCTCGAGGAAGCTATGCTGTGTTGCGCTGCGATGCGATTTCGGAGTTTGGGGGGGGGGGGTCGATGGAGAGGTCAAGAAAGTCAACGCGGATGCCCGCACGGTCGGCTCAATCGTCCTCAAACTGGATGATTTCTAGCTCGAGCTCGCGAAGGAGCAAGGAAAAGCCAGGCACCCGTAGCTGTCTTACTGAGCTACGGAGATTGTATGTTGGCATATCGCATACTTAAGTGCTCCAAGAGTAAAGCGACTTAAGTTGGCATGGAAGAAGTTTTGCAGGTTCTCAGAGATTGTGAGGCGACTGGAGTAAGGTAGGCAGGTTTCTCCGTCCTTAGGTAAGGTAGCTAGCTATCTATCATGGGTAATTGTACCTCGAAAGGATGTGACGACACTTTCATGAACCTTACGTGCTTACCTAAGGTAACTCAAGCTGCTTGCGAAGGTAAGCAACCGTATCATGCGAGCACGGTGGCTGGGCAACTAGGTACCTAGGCCACCTCCTGCACTGATAGGAAACGAACCGCTGGAATTTGCGAAGGGCGGAATGGCGTAGGTGTCAGGGTGGGAGGGGTGGCAGAGGGGAGGGGAATTCTGTCCCGTCGAAATTTTAGGTAAGCAACCCTCGGCATATGCCGACGGAGACCTTTGCGGGTAACCACCTCAAAGGCAATAGGTATCGAACAAAACCATGCACCGACCTGGTCTAAATCAACATTGATGGGAATGATCGTTGCAAGACAGTTCTATACCGGGTATATATCTAGCTACATAGCGGGGGACTTGTCTGATAGATGACGATACTTTGGATGCTGTCCAGGTTGCGCAGGACGAACGGGAGGGAGCGCTGTGACTGAGATACCTAGGTATAGGTACCTAGGTAGTAGCCCCAGTGGCCCCCGCTGCAATCCCCGCATTACCTCACTTGGTCAGCGCCAGCCACGTATGGGTATCGTAGGTAAGTATGGAATCAATGCTGAGATTGCCTGTGTCAAATTTGCTGGAATGATATGGTTTGACTGGTATCGAGTGGTATGTTTCGCTGTTTTTCTATTGGAAGCTGTGCAGTCATGCAGCGACAAAGAGGTATTCAGAGCCCCAGGGCAGTTTTCGAAGGTCGCTGTTGATTCTTCTGTTAAGATCAAACCTTCTCAACACGTCTGGCCAATAAACGCTACCTCTCAAGAGAGCCCAGCCCAGTGATGCGGGACTGCCTAGGTGCCTGCCCGCCTTATTTAGGCTACCTTTCGGATAACCAGTGCTGCACCACCTGGTGTACATGCCTCCTCCATACCTACCAGGTTACCTAAGGTATCTTAGGTTTGTACGGATAGTTGAGGTAGGTAGGCATGGTGCCTTAGGTACCTACCTATCTTGCCTCATGAGGTTCAATTGCATAGAACTGTCTGCCCGGCACCCCGGCCCCCTTGGCTCAGGTCGTCTTTGTGGAAGTCGCTCGCAGTGGAATCCATTGGCAGCACGCTACCCGCTGTGCCCGCCATGCCCGCCTAACCATAGGAGGAGCCCAGGCGCCAACTTGCGGTACCCGCCCCAACGGAGGAGAAAGCCTCTCTCCCAATTTTTTTTTTCCAATACCACACATTACCTTCCCCCCCACCAAAATAAAGTCAACTGCGCATCTACAACTTCCCACGTTCGGCACCGTTCTCTACCCTGCCATCTCCATCAACCGCAACCTCCCTTCAAGATCAGCCCAGGACTTCTCTGTCCCACGCCTCTTGTGGTTTCACTCTATTATCGAATACGAACGATCAAAAGATTCGAACGCACATAATGGCTGAGCCCATCCGTAACAAGCGCCTTGATCCGGCCACCGCGCCGTAAGTCACAAATCTTGCGGCACTGTTCTTCCCGGTGGCGAGGGGTCGCTTCCTTAGGCTTCCCTTGCCCCATTCCACGACCACCATGGCTGACATCTACTCTTGAGCATACAGTACGCCGCAAAATACCCCCCTTCAAAATGCGCCCATTTCGTCGCATGCCCAGCAGCCTGGCGTCGCCAGCATCAAGGAGGGTATGTACCAAAACCCCCGCTGCAATGTTCAACTCTTGTCTTTCTTGCGCGCACTTTGGGGCCTCACCTCTAGAGACACCCGCCCCTCTATCGACCCGTTACTGACGTGCACCCATTTCACAGAGGATCTCGATCGTGCCGCTGCCGCCTCCATCTTTGCTCAGAATCCCAAGCTCGTCCAGATGATCCAAGGAAGACTTGGTTCTCTCGTTGGCCGATCCTCCGGCTACATCGAGTCGCTGCCTCCCCAGGTGCGTCGCCGTGTTGCCGGCCTCAAAGGCATCCAGAAGGAACACTCTAAGCTTGAGGCCGAATTTCAAGAGGAGGTTCTCCAGCTCGAGAAGAAGTACTTTGCCAAGTTCACTCCTCTCTACGAGAAGCGTGCCAAGGTTGTCAACGGTGCCTCTGAGCCTACAGAGGAGGAGATCAAGGCCGGCGAGGAGGATGACGAGGATGATGATGAGGAGGTTGAGGAAGCTGAGAAGACCGAGAAGGCTGCCGAATCCACTGAGCCGGTTTCTGGTATCCCTGAGTTCTGGTTGTCTGCCATGAAGAACCAAATTTCTCTCGCCGAGATGATTACCGATCGCGACGAGGCCGCTCTCAAGCACCTGATCGATATCCGCATGGAATATCTCGACAAGCCCGGCTTCCGCCTTATCTTCGAATTTGCCGACAATGAGTTCTTCACAAACAAGACCGTCACCAAGACGTACTTTTACCAAAGTGAAAGCGGCTACGGCGGTGACTTCATCTACGACCATGCTGAGGGTGATAAGATTGAGTGGAAGGAGGGCAAGGATTTGACTGTCAGAGTCGAGAGCAAGAAGCAGAGAAACAAGAGTAAGCTCTTCACACATACCGCCCATCGCGATGCACCTGCTAATCCCTCTTTCAGACACCAAGCAGACCCGAATTGTCAAGAAGACGGTGCCCACCGAATCCTTCTTCAACTTCTTCTCTCCCCCCCAGGCCCCGGCCGACGAGGATGATGACGCTGCTTCTGACATCGAGGAGCGCCTCGAGCTTGATTACCAACTCGGTGAAGACATCAAGGAGAAGCTCATTCCCCGTGCCATTGACTGGTTCACCGGCGAGGCTTTGGCCTTTGAAGAGCTCGACGATGATGACCTGGAGGGTGACTTCGACGATGAAGACGACGAGGACGAGGATGATCTTAGTGAGGACCGTGACGAGGATGAGGAGTCCGAGGATGACGTAAGTGACGTGTAACCCGAGGATCCTATGATGGCAGACGCTAATCCATACTTCAGGACGACACCGGCAAGCCCAAGCAGGAGGCGGCTGAATGCAAGCAGAGCTGAGCGACGACTATCGGTCGGCCGGATTGCTAGGTTCTTCACGTTCATGACAGACTTCATTAGGGGAGTGCGTGATGGTCATGCTCTGATTCTTTCGCGTCATGAAAGGCGGCGGCGTCACGCTTGGCGCCACGTCAACAAACCCGCTTTGAGGGTTAAGCCAAGCAGAGCAGCATTGAATGGATGAGCTTCTCGCTTGATAGATGGTAATTGACGTTTTGGTCTCAAACATTCTCAACGAAACGGCCATCTTACGTTCTGGTCATGAATGATGCTATACGTCGGTGCTAAAATGGATTTGTAGAAAGGGTGTTCACTCGAATTTTCCTTCATGTAAAACGGGTAGGGGCATTAACAATGGAAGCAATAGACAGGAAATAAGTCACATAAGCAAATCTTCCTATTACTTGCATCTCCAAGGTGGGGTGGGACGGTGCCCGGGCATGTTCCCGCATATGGCTGTGGGCCACTCCAACCCTCAGCTCGCTCGTGTACTGCGCGTAATTTAGAAGGATACAATAAGCATGCTCTCTGGGGCATCATCACTATATCGCAGCAATTGGAGCGCCTGGTCGTATATGTAAGTGACTTGGAAGGCATAGAGGAATCTTATTTCCATTGTCAGGATGTCGCCCTGGGGCTCAACGGTTGTGACCAATATGGAAGCTCCGTAGAGTGTCGGGGAGTTGAAGGGCGGACGCGGCGGTGCATGCGGACTTCTAGAAGGTCGGAGCGGCCGTTGGACTAACCAGCACTTTATGGAAATGATTTGGACGACGAAGCCGCATAGGTCGATGTGCGGTCCGGGATCGGCACTCTGGTCAGGTCAGTGACTTTGGTTAAGGTAGGTAGGCACGTAGGTAGGTAAGGTAAGGTAACAAGAGCAACTATCTTAGTCAAAGCATATCCTACACCAAGTAGAATTTTAATGCGTCGGCCAAATCTTCAAACAAGCCGCGACCCACGCAAAGGAGGTGTCGTGGCCAGTCCCGTCTCATGCTTGTTGTGTGGTGTGCCATCTGCGCCGGCGCCGGAGGAAATTGGATTGGTTTTTTTTTTCCCTTCCTCCCTTTCTCTCTTCAACCCACCTGCTGAGGAGCAGTGAGTCAACCCCAGGCCCAGACTGCCCCAGAAGGCAACTCATGCTTGGCTGGAATGAGTAAGGTGGTAAGTTGAGGTAGCCTCTGAGTCTGAAGAGTCGAGTCTGCGACCGAGTGCCGGACACCTTGAGGGATGTTGCCGGCCTTCGGGCGTGCTCCGCTGGCAGGTCGGACTTTATTCACTGTGCGAGCCTAAGCAGATGGTTGGAGCCGCGCATGAATTCTTTTCCATTTGGCGGATTTCTACTGTCCACCACCGACCTCCGCACCGTGTAAAGACAGTGCCCACATGCGGCGGGAGAATCCCGGACCACCTGCCCACAACATCGGGGTCTGTCTCGC